ACAATTCACAGACAAAAGAAAACTATTGCTCAACTACAGCACCAACATCTAAACATGGATGCTAAACTACAACATGCCTTACTCATTAAGTCATGTGACCAGGATAGTGTAGTGACACTTAAGCTACAAGAATATCAGTTTGAGACTGCACAGTTGAGAGCTCAGTTATCACAAGTCACCAATGAAAAGAATACAGAGATTGAAAGATTGCAAAGAAAGCTGGGGTAAGCGTAAGAGATGATTAACCAAATCTGAAAAGGTGCTATTTGGAATATTTTGCAACTAACATTTTACTCTATCATAAATCACACTGTTTCACTGTTTTCATCACTAATTACTCCTACATTGTGCAAAGCTACAAATTTTTAAACATTTACTTTATAAAAAGTTTCACACAGCTGTGCAAACACTATGGATTTGTTTTGCTGTAGTATAGTGCCTTTTCTCCAATCATTGTTGTCAATAGCACCATTCCCAGGAAGGGTTAATTGACCATACTGTATTGTGTCCTATGCAGTTGCACAGTTGTATGAAATTGTTTCTTTATCTATTAAATAACTCTAGGTTAGTGTTGGCAGTTTTAATTGTGTAGGAGGGATGAAGGGTGATTCATGTAAGAGTAATTTGATATAATGTATAGTGAATTATACAACTTTTCAGTAGAATCAGACGTTTTGATTGGTTGGCTTTCGTGTGTTATCAAAGTATAGATACACGGATTACGTCAAAACTAATTGTTTGTTGTATAAAACAGATAGATCTCATTTTTCCGTGTGTGTGTACTCTAATAGATACACAGATGACGTCAAAATGTAGTGAGAACAACAGTCATGCACTCGACTGCGTCTCGTGCATACTTTTTTGTTCTCACTACATTTTGACGTCATCTGTGTATCTATTAGAGTACACACGTACGGAAAAATGAGATCTATTTGTTAAATAATGGCACTCAACACAGTGTATTATGTTATCAGGGAGACTGAGTACCTGCTTGATCAAATGGATGCTTGTGTTAAAGACACAGCAGCTTCTAAAGATAAAGATGTAGATTCACTTCACAGTCAGGTCAGCAAATGCTGTGTTTACACCTTATTACTATTGGGTTTTGTAACAAGAGGTACCTGAATTCATTAAAGATAAGAAAATGTATCACACTACTTATAAAATATCAATGAAAAGTATAGGACGATGGAAATAATACTGACACAATGTTATTTTCAAGGAGTTCAAATAACTACATAATTGGTGTTA